TCTGTGCTTCCTGGACTTGCATGACTTTTCTCTCCTCAAATTAGGGAAGTTTTCCATCATTACTTTTCAAACAGGTTTTATAACCTTGCTTCTTTTCTTCTTCTTCTGGTGCCCCTAATATAGGGATATAATTACCTTTCATGTTGCTTTGCATTTTCCTAAATGCTTCTTCATTCTTTTTGAGTCGTTTTCATTTTCTTTCTCCTCCTGGGAGCCTTTTTCTACTTTATCCTCCAGCTCACTGATTCGGTCCTCAGCTTTATCTAGCCTGCTTTGATTCCTTCTACTGAGTTCTTCAATGATGAGATTGTATTCTTCATTTCCTCTTGCCTCTTTTTGATAGCTTCCTTTTTCATGTTTATATAGTATGCCTGAGCAGGATGGCTGCTGCTTTATGGGGGATGACTCTGCACTGTGATCCCCGGGGTACTGTTTCCCCAATGTCTCTATCTTCAGTCTCTCCTCAAGTGTCTCTCATCCACTCTGCCCCTCCCCTTTTGCCAGGGATCTACTGTCTGTGGCTTCCACTTTGCATTCACCATTCAGGTTTAATCACCACAGGATCAGGGCAGAGTCCCCCTGGGGGTGGGGCTATTGTTTCTTGTCACGCTGCTGCCTCTCAGCAGTGTGATCTGCCTGAGCACAATGGCTGCTGCCATATGGGGGATGACTCAGTACTGGGATACAGGTGGCTATTCCCAAAGTTCTCTCCCCAAAGCCTCCATCCCCAGTCTCTCACCAGGCTTCTCTAGCCCACTCCACCCCTGCCTTTGCGGGAGCCCAGGGTAAGTGGCTGCAAATGAAAATGTATATCATGGCCCTTTAAGTGGCTCGTGTGTCTCCAGCTGCCCATCTCTGCCGGAGAGCAACCCTGTAGCTTTTTGAAACTAGCTGTTATTCCTGTACTTTTTGGGTTCTGGTGCTGTAAGCTGGGGGTCCCTGATTATGGTTTAGACCCCACTCTTCTCAGGGGAATTGAACTGACTGCTTAAATATCCTTCTGGTGCTGCTGCCTGTGGGTTCTCAGCCCGCCTTCTCGAGTCTCCACAGCACTCCTTACCAGTCAGTTCATGCTGAAGCTTATTCTTTTGTCTGTCCAAGGTTATAAGGCTTCTCTCTCACTGTTGTTCAGTTGTTTGTTCTAGGTGATTTCTCCACAATTTAGTTGTAATTCCAGATTTGTCCTGGGAGGAGGTCAGTATGACTTCCATTCATTTCTCTGCTATCTTGCAAATCCAAGCACATTGCTTTTTAAAAAGAACTAGCCTTTTAAATTTTGTTTAGTATTTAAATCCTTTCTTAAATTTGTTCAAGTACAGTTGTCTATAAAAACTAGGCAAAGGACCTGAACAGACACTTCCCAAGGAGGACATACACAGATCCCAGAGGCATAAGAATGGATGCTCAGCATATTTAGCCATCAGAGAGATGCAAATTAGAACCACAGTGAGATACCACTTCACATCAACCCAAATGGCCATCATAAACAAATCAACAAATAACAAGTGCTGGTGAGGATGTGGAGAAAAGGGAACCCTAGTACACTGTTGGTGTGATGCAGGCTGGTGCAGCCACTGTGGAAAACAAAACCTTTTAAAGACCCATTAGATTCTCCTATTATGATGAATAATTTAAATTTACCTTCTACATTGAAAGAAGATTAAACTGTAGTAGTTTCTTATCAATAGTTGAGCATCCCTAAAAGTCTACGGCCCTGCAAATAAAATAAATTTATACACATAGTGCTCCCAATCAAATAGAATTTCTTTACCCTGAAATATAGAACATGATTGTTGATGTATAAATGCTGGTTGTGTTGTTGCATTGCTCACCACCAAAAGGTATCATAGTGGAAAAGATGAGGAGGTTAGCAGAGGCTGGGGTCCTGACCCATTTAGTTTAGCCAGAGGCAGGCTTAAGTATAACATTGGATGGGAAGAAGCAGCATCATTTGAAGATGGATATTTATTACCCAGCAAACTTTAAGCTGAGAAGCAGGTGAGAGTACTCTTGAACTGTACTGCTTGAAGTAAAGAAATCCAGACACCAAAAAGCAGATAGGAGAGAAGCAGAAAAGAACTTTGAATTGGTGAGACCAAGCACATGGCAAGTAGGGATTATTATCTAGGCTCCTTAAGCCAAAGAACATTGTCGCCTGAAATATTTGGATCATTTATTTCAGGTAACACAGGATCATTGTGAAGTGTTAATGAAATGAGTTTTGTTTCTCCTAATTGTCATTTAATGTTTTCTACAAGCAATATCAGAGTAGGAATAACAGTAGCATACACATATAACTTATGATATTCCCCCTCTGGGCTCTGAGAAGGGCACTGAGTCAATAAGGGTATAATATATGTCATTTTTTGTTGCTATTTGGGTTGGGATGGAGGATAATTTGTCTGCTTTCTTGTATAAGTTGACAGAGGGGTGAAGTATGGCAGTTAAGAGGTGGCTCCAGTGCACACCTGTCCAGAGTGTGGCATCTGGCAGTTACCTAACCTTTCTGGATGGTTTCCTCAATTGTCAAACCAGGAAATAACAGCACTTACCTCATGGGCTTATTGCAAGAATTAAATGAATTGTGCATGTGGAGTGTTTAGAATGATGTTCAATACATTCACAAATACCTATCTGTGTCATCACCCCCTTTAACCAAGAATGGGGTTACATACCAACTATAGTCCCCACCCACCAAGTCAATAGCAATTCATGAATCCACATAACATGGCTGATTGATGGCTTGTTGAAGGTGGCTCACAGATGATACTACATTTCTACTCAAATTTAGGACCCTCCCATGGATTTACAGTACTGTTAGCAGATCAGCCATGCACATTGACCGAAGCTGGGTTTCAGAACCATCTCTTCCTAAGAGGTGCCAGAACCTCTGTCAACATTTTTTCTTTATTAATTCTACCATCAAATCCATTCATTGAAAATATATACCAAATATGGTCACATTTAATTAACTTATGTATAGGACAGGAGACACTGTCCAGACAGGGTCTCCATAGATAGCGCATGCCTGATACAGACATTAGGGCACAGGATCTGTTGTAAAGAGTCACATGATCATGAAGGCTGAAAAGTCCCATGGCTTCTAGTCTGCAAGCTGGAGACTCAGGAATACCAATGGTGTGGTCCCTGTCAGTAATCCAGCAGGCTCAAAACCCAAAAAAATCTGATGTTTCCATTTGAGTCCAGAGGCAGGAAAAAAACTAACATCTCAACTCAGCAGTTAGACAGGAGAAGTGCCCTCTTATTCATGGGACCCTTCTTGTTCTTTTCAGGCCTTTAAGAGATTGGATGACACCTGCCTGCATTGGAGAGAGCAACCTGCTTTACTCAGTTTACTGATTCAAACGTTAATCCCACCCATAAGCATGCTCACAGGCACACCCAGAATTATAGTTGACCAAATATCAAGCACCCAAAGCCCAAGCAAGTTGATACATGAAATTAACCTTCAAAGCTCTAATTCTCTTCAGCATTTGTGGACATGTGTGTGGATGCTTTAGCATACAGACTTCCCAGGGCCTAAGTATATAGAACTAGGGTGACTAATCATCCTAGTTTGCTTGGGACTGAGAGGGTTCCTGGGATGCTGAACTCTCAATCCCAGGTAAACAGGATAAATTGGTCAACCTAGGTAGAACCCTGTCAACAGGTAACATCTGCCACTAGTTTCCTGATCATCTACCTACCTAACTCATAAATTTCTACCTTGATACTTGACCTCTGACCCCAGCCCTCTGTAAGGAAATTAGTTCCTTTCCAGGAAAAACTTTAGTGTAAGACAGTGATGAGTGCACTGTGGATTTTAGATCAAAAGCTACATTTCTAGCTAGATTCACTTTCCAAGAGCCATTTTACAGCATGATAGCAGGCTTCTCACAGGCTCAAATGGAGGGAGATTAAGCTCTTCTACCTGAGGAGAGGAGGATAAAGAATCTGTGGTCATAGCCTTAGAACCACCACAATGGAAAAAGCAAGTTTGAGACATTTCATAAAACTGTGCCTAGCCATCTGGAAACTGAATGAGTAAAAATTCCACATGTTCTCACCAAAAGATTTTTCAAAGTCATTCAACTATGACCTAGTCAGCCTTTTATGTTTAAGAAGAACTGGACCCTTTTGCTGTCATAATTCAACTCCAACCTAAAGACACCTTGAAAACATTGGAAATCTCCAGAAATACCACTCTTGTGAGTTCTGCCTTTGAAACAGAAGTAATAACACATACTCCATAGTCAATTTTGGGAGTAGTACATCAATACCTTGCCATTAGCCTATATGCTATAAGGTCAGGGGATGACTCAGAAAGACAAACAGTGAAAAAGAAAAGACCCAAACATGCATTCAGTCCACCAGACCCAGCCACCACCTCCACATAAAAGAAATGTAGTCGTGTGTTTTTCTGTTTCTATACGTCTTTAATTTCTTTTTTTCTTATTCTAATCTAACTCACATGAAATTGGGTTCATGAGAAGAATAGGGGAGATAAAAGGGAGAGGACAAAGAATAATCTTTATTTTTATCTCTGGGCTCAAAATTCCAATAAAGATTTGTCACAGAGCAGTTAGGAAGAAGGTTCAGTAAACTGTTTTATTTACATTATTACACCATTGTATTTCATTGAAGCAATAGAGCTTTCTTAAAGTTAATCTAGCTTGCTTTTTTAAAAATTTATTTATTACTCTTTTTTTAGTTTTTCAAAGACATTTGTCTCCATTTATCCACCACCACTTAGCCCTGCCCCACCCAAACCCATATCCCCTCCTCAATCCTTCCTAACCTTGGCTTCATCAATAACATGGCTTGTTTTTATTTGTAGTCTATTTTGCAAGTGATATTTCTATATATTCTTTCTTAGGTGACAGTGTGGTTTTTACCTCAGATCTCCCACAAGTGCTACAAAGAATAAAAGATTCTGAATAATCAGTCAAGTTTTCTGTGAAGTCGAAGAAATATTACTGTCTTTACCACAAACAAGAGAAATGAAGCACATAATCAATCTATATGAAAACATCAATGATACAGCAAGAAATAATTCAGACTGTCCTCATGTGGTTGTGCCAGAAGAGATATTTTTTATAATATCCATCATTGGGCTTTTTGAAAATCTGATTGTCCTTCTGGCTGTGATCAAAAATAAGAACCTCCAAGCACCCATGTACTTTTTTATTTGCAGTTTGGCGATTTCTGATATGTTGGGTAGCTTGTATAAGATTTTGGAAAGTATCCTGATCATGTTCAGAAACATGGGTTATCTCAAGCCTCATGGTGATTTTGAAACCACAGCAGATGACATCCTTGATTCCCTGTTCATCCTTTCCCTACTTGGCTCCATTTTCAGCCTGTCTGTGATTGCTGCTGACCGCTATATTACAATCTTCCATGCTCTGCAGTACCACAGCATTGTGACCATGCGCCGTGCCATTGTCATCCTGATGGTCATCTGGACATGCTGCACAGGCAGTGGCATCACCATGGCGATCTTCTCCCATCACATCCCCACAGTGATCACCTTTACATTATTGTTCCCTCTGATGTTGGTCTTTATCCTGTGCCTCTATATGCACATGTTTTTGCTGGCCCGTTCCCATGTCAGGAAGATCACAACACTTTCCAGAGCCAACATGAAAGGGGCCATCACACTTACAATCCTACTTGGGGTCTTCATCTTCTGTTGGGCCCCCTTTGTCCTTCATGTCCTCTTAATGACATTCTGCCCCAATAACCCTTACTGTGTCTGCTACATGTCACTTTTCCAGGTGAATGGCATGTTGATCATGTGCAATGCAGTCATTGACCCTTTTATATATGCATTCCGGAGCCCAGAGCTCAGGGAAGCATTCAAAAGGATGATCTTCTGCAACAGGTACCAGTAGAATTATTGGTCCCTAATTTTAGGAACCATGGTGATAATATAGTCATGTGAAAGAATAACATGACATACCAACAAATACTAATACTCCAACTGTTCTTTCATTCCCTAGTGTGCAGGAGGATAATCCCACTTACTAGTATTTGTAATAGTTTGGTTCTATGTGAACAGTCTTTCTCTAGTACAATTTTAATAACCAGAGAGATAAAATAATGTACTAAAAAGGACAGAATACAAATCACATGCAGCAATACAAATTCAAGAGCTCTGGGCTAAGAGAAAAACTTGTTCTCCTATAGATATTTAGCAAGCCTATTACTGAGGTAGCCTTTCTAGGATGAAGGCCACTGTAGCTGATATCTAGAAGTTAAAATACTAGGATGAGTACTCAAGCCAGAAATTATAGGTCTTTGTAAGCCAAAAGTGCCAATAAATTGCTGCAGCTGAATTTGCCTGTCCCACACTGCCAAATAGAATTCCTGCCTTCCCTCAGTCCTACTTGTCTGCTTTATTATATCCCAAATATTTTTGGAAGCAGGTAGGGTATAAATTATAAATGTCAAATAACCAGCTTTGAGTTTTCAAAAATAAAGGAATGTTCTCTGTTAGAATTCTTTGCTCCCTCAGTATCTCACTGGCTTTAAAATCTTTTCCTCGTTAAAACTCCTCATGCTTTAGAAGCATGAATTTCAAAAGAGGAAATAAAAATTTAATCCATTAGTTCCCATATGGGAGTAAAGGCCAGAGGAAAACTGTGATATTGTGTCCATCTGGAGAAGGTATAACAAAACTAGTTAGGGGGCAGGGGGCAAGGGAGAGAGAGAATATGAGAATGAGTAACCATGCTTTTGGACTATGAGAAAAAACAAGACCGAATCAGTTCTTCAAGAACAGTGCTATTATTGATACTCAAGCCAAATATTGATGAAAAAACTTTACCTCCTTCTACAGAGGAGTCTGAGAGACAGACCCAGTCACTACAAAATTTCATCCTACCACCAGCTACAGGACAGATGCCAGATATTAAAGAGTGGTATTGCCAATGGAAATAAAAGAAACAGTTTATAAATTCATCCACTGTTAATTGCTAAAAGTAAACCTTAAAGAAGAAGCAAATTCTGACTGTAGTCCTAGCTAATTTGGAGAGTGACTTAAAGGCCTGAGTTATGAAACAGAGAGCGGAAAGAAGCCAGGTCTTCACATGCACAGGGCCTGGTTGTTCAGCATCCAATGGGAGAGACAGTGTGTTCTGGAAGAGGCAACACTTTACTCTCAGTAAAGTTTTTCCTGAGCTGCTGAGAGCAAAAACCAGCCACAAACAGGACTGCTGGCCTCATGATGGATTTAGTATGAGATGTGGGGAGGGACAGGATCTTAAGGAGTAGAGCAAAAGGCATGGCGTTAAAGGGAAGACAGCTGTGGGCATTTTTCCAGGTGGCCTCCATCACATTTTGGAGATTAAACCCAAAGTATATTTTTTGTTCTGTGTTCTGTAATAATCCTTTGGTCCCTCCACCTCACCAAATGAGATATATTACTCTAATGTACATCAACTCAAATTTATTAATATACAAAATACTATATGTAAGTTTATTTTCCATAAAATCTAAAGCACAGCCCTATAAATGATTTTTAAATGTTATTTCTACCATTAAAAGAATAATGTATAGCATATTTTTATGCAATTAAACTGAGTATTCTCAATATATTGTAACCTTTATTTGATGTTGTGCTGCTCTATGATACTGTAGAGGTTGGTAGTGAAATTTAACCCCTGTCATAAATGGCCCCAAACTGCTGTTCTGTCATCATTAATAGTTTTGCTACCATTCTTAAGCTCTCAGCTGTCACATCTGAATGTTGTCATAGGAAGTCACCTAGATAGTCCTTTCCTTCTCAGTGCCTTCAATTTCTTGTGTTTAACCTAAGATACAAATCAGGAAGTTTACTCTAATAGTGTATAAAGCAGGCTATTAAGTCAGAGACATTTTCAATTCTAGGTTCTCAGCTATATTCAAATCAAACCAGAATCTTTAACACCCAGAATTACTAAAGAAAATATGGTTTCCTACATTTACTTTCATATGTAATTCAAACAAAAACTATGTAAAGGTACATTGATTTGAGTAAAGAAGATCAACAAGGCTCAGATTTTGCCCGTGATTACTACTTTAATTATTTTATTAAAATATCACATTTAAAATTGCTTTGGTAATGCCATAAGCATATGTTCAGCTTTGGATTAGACAGCTGAGAATGTTAGTAAATGTGAAGTACTGTAGCTGGCTTGATGTTCTCTTTAATATAGGAGTAAGCTACTTCTGTGCGCTCTCTAATAAAGAGGGAAGTTTCTGCTTCTTCTCTCTCATCTCCCCATTGTTATAGTATAAATGTTTGCTTTCCCCCAAATTCATACATGTTGAAATCTTACTCCTAAAAGGTGGTAGTATTAGGAGGTGGGGCTATTGGGAGGTACTTAGGTCATAATGGTTGAACCCTCATGAATGGGATTATTGCCCTCATAAAAGATGCTACAAAGAGATCCCTCACCCCTTCTGCCACGTGAGCACATAGTGAGAAAGCACCAGCTATGACCCAGGAGGAAGGCCCTCATTCCACTATGTTGGCACCCTTCCTTCCAGCCTCCAAAATTGTTAGAAATCAATTTCTGATTTTCATAAGTCATCCAGTCTGTGGTATTTTTTTTTAATAGCAGCTTGACCACACTAAGACACCCATACATAAGGTCTGTCTGGGAAAACTCCAGCCATTGTTAATATAATGAGAACAGATTGTGTGATATCAGTGTAACCTGGCAGCCAAGGAGAGTGGACTGGAATGCACATGCATGAACAATGACAACTTCACCATACTAGTCAGTAGGGGCAGTAGACACCATTGAATGAGCAAGTGTACTGTGTGGCTGTGGCCCTTGAAGTTCAAAATGACTGATCAAGTAGAGCAACAAGTCTGCATTAAATTTTGCATTAAGCTTGAACATTCCTCTGCAGTAACTATTGAGATGATTCAGAAGACTGAAGCTATAAGCAACTGGTGATTGGCACCTTTATCACAACAACATGCCTGCCCATGCATCATGTCTTACACAGTTTTTGGCAAAACATCAAATTGCCCAGGTGACTCAGCCCCTCTACAGCCCAGATTCAGTGCCCTGAGACTTTTGGCTTTTTCCAAAACTCAAATAACCTTTGAAAGGGAAGTGATTTCAGACCATCAATGAGATTCAGGAAAATATGGCAGGCAGCTCATGGTGATTGAGAGAACTGTGTGAGGTCCCACGGTGCCTACTTTGACAGGAACTGAGGCATCATTGTCCTATGAACAATGTTTCTTGTATCTTCTTCAATAAATGTCTCTAATTTTCATATTGTATGGCTTGATACCTTCTGGACATACCTTTTATTCATGGAGAGACATGAATAATTCAATAAACACCTCAATCTTTCAACCACACATTCACTGGGCTATGGTAAGAAAGAGGCTAAGAGAGTAGTCAAGGAGCACCCCCCAGGCCATTTGGTTGAGACCTATTAAGAAGCATAAGCAAATGAGTAATAAAACATGAAAAATTGTCAGAGTTAATGTTTCCTGGACTGTGAGGACATTCAGTAATTATAACAACAATAGCAATAGTGCTTATCTATTACTGAACACTTACTATAAGCCAGGTATTATCCTAAGCTTTGCATACATTAAACCTCACAGCAACTTTCAGACTAGGTACTATTACTATCCTCATTTTTAAGATGAATAAGCTGAGGTCCAGAGGTAGTAACTTCTGTGGCAGCAGACTCACAAAGGTAACCATTGTGACCCCTGCCTTCTGGTGTTTCACATCTTTGTGTTACCCTTGCCCCTTGAGTGTGGGCAAACTGTGACTGGCTTCTGACTCATGTCAAATGTGATGGGATATCACTCTCATGACTATATCACATTATATAAAATACCATCTTGCCAAGAGACTTGTTAGACTCTGCTTACTGGGTTGATAAAGTAATCAGACACTCTTAGAAACCCATGTAGCAAGGAACAACAGGTAGCCTCTTGTTCTTATACAGGCAATAGAATCTCTCAGCTTTGATGGCTGTTGAGAGCCATATAAGTCTGGAAGCAGACCTGATCATCAGATTAGAATGCAGCCAGCCCACACCTTGATTGAAGCCTTGTGAGATCCTGAGCAGAGGACCCAGCTAAGCCATGTCCGATTGTGAGCCGTGGAAACTGTGAGACAACATACATGTGTTGTTTTAAGCCTCTAAGTTTGTGGAAATTTGTTATGCTGCTGTAGAAAACTAATGCTACAACCTAATTTGAGTCAGTGAGTGCTAGAGTTAGGAGTTAACTCTAGGCTGCAGTGTGGCCCCAAAGTCCATTCTCTGTGAAGCTATGATGTTGCACATGCAAAAAAAAAAAAAAATGGCTCTATCATGACAGAATGACTATTTACTTTGTCTCATTCAACACCAGAACAGGAAAGTCAATATCTGGGGTCTCCCTTTCCCAACTGAGCAGTTAGCTCCTATAGTGGTGTCACTCAGAGAGAAGGGCGCCATTGTCCCCACCCTACGTCCAGGGTTCTGGCTCAGAGATTTTGCCTTAAAGGAGAAGCAGGCTATAACACAAAGAAGTCCTAATCTCTTCCTGAAATAATTCACTTTAATTTCAACAGAGTGTAGAGAAGTCTCAGCACTCTCAAGAACAAAGGAGATTGTAGCAAAAGGCAATGGGAAAAGAACAATAAATTCATTAGAAATATAGATCTATAAGCCAGGCAGTTTGTTGAGAACAAGAGGGAAAGAGTGGGGGTCCTTCTGGGGTCAGAACAAATCTCAATCACTGACCTCAAGAACTATCCTTTCAAAGAAGCCCAAATTTGATTAGTCTTTGGAGCAATTTATTCCTCAAGACATTGTTGAAAACAATAAATAGTCAGGCAGTAAATAGAGGGGTTTAACATCTGGTTAGGGTTAAGGAAAGAGCAGT